TTTCATTTATAAAATATTGAGAATCAAAAGACTTAAAATGATCATTAGAGGTGATGTTATAAAAACAAAGGGACTACCATTTACTGAACTCCTATATGTTTTATCTATCCTTCCAGACACTATAATTTCATTATCATAAGAGTTCTATAAGAAAGATATAATAAACCCTTCCCCCTCTACATATGAAGGAATTGTTTAAATGACTCTCCCAAGATCATTCTGGCTGTAAATTGTAGATATGGGATTGCATTCCAGGTTTCTCTGACTTCAAGCAAGTGCTCTTTCTGCTTATATTATACAATACCCTCTTACTTATTTTAAATAAATGACTGCCTCAAAAAGTAATCAATTTGATACAAATTACCATCTGTTTTAGATATATGAATCAATTGAATATTCTAAATAATTTTATTCATTCCCGGGGCCTATTAGCTCACCATTCTTAGAAGTTCTCTACATTTCAGATATTTTACAATGTAAACAAGTTATTAAAATGTGTACTTTCTGCTTTCTTGGTCATCATCAACATTGTCTGTTTTATGATAGGTCTCATAAGAAAAAAGCATCCAGAAATGTACTGAATTGAAGCAAGTGTTGTGGCACAGTGGATTAAGCTGTTGCCTGTGATGCCGGTAACCTATATGGGCACTGGTTTGACTCCCTGTTATTCCACCTCCTACCCAGATCTCTGCTAATTTTCCTGGGAAAGTAGAGGGGAATGGACCAAGTACTTGGAACCCTATAACACATGTGGGAGACCCAGATGGAGTTCCAGGCTTCTGGCTTCTGCCTGGCCCAGTCTTAGTTGTTGTAGGCATTTAGGGAGTCAACTAGCAGATGAACACATTCTCTCTCTCCCCCTCTTTCTCTGTAATCCTGCCTTTTAAATAAATAAATGTTTTTTTAAAAAATAAGTTCACTGAATGAATGCACAAATTCTATCTTCAGCATTTTTTAAGGTTTATTTATTTATTTGAAAGGCAGAGCAAGAGAAAGGGAGAGATGGAGGGCAGGGAGGAAAAAAGAGAGAAAGAGAAGGAGAGATCCACCATTTGCTGGTTCAATCTTTTTTTTTTAACTTTTATTTAATGAATATAAATTTCCAAAGTACAGCTTATGGATTACAATGGCTTCCCCACCCCCATAACTTCCCTCCCACCCGCAACCCTACCCTTTCCCGCTCCCTCTCCCCTTCCATTCACATCAAGATTCATTTTCAATTCTCTTTTTATATACAGAAGATCAGTTTAGCATATATTAAGTAAGGGTTTCAACAGTTTGCACCCACATAGAAACACAAAGTGAAAAATACTGTTTGAGTACTAGTTATAGCATTAAATCACAATGTACACCACATTAAGGACAGAGATCCTACATGACGAGTAAGTGCGCAGTGACTCCTGTTGTTGACTTAACAATTTGACACTCTTGTTTATGGCATCAGTAATCTCCCTAGGCTCTAGTCATGAGTTGCCCAGGCTATGGAAGCCTTTTGAGTTCACCGACTCTGATCATATTTAGACAAGGTCATCGTCAAAGTGGAAGTTCTCTCTTCCCTTCAGAGAAAGGTACCTCCTTCTTTGATGACCTGTTCTTTCCACTGGGATCTCACTCGTGGAGATCTTCCATTTAGGTCATTTTTTTTTTCCAGAGTGTCTTGGGTTTCCATGCCTGAAATACTCTCATGGGCTCTTCAGCCAGATCCAAATGCCTTAAGGGCTGATTCTGAGGCCAGAGTGCTGTTTAGGACATCTACCATTCTATGAGTCTGCTGTGTATCTCGCTTCCCATGTTGGATCGTTCTCTCCCTTTATCATTCTATTGGTTAGTATTTGCAGACACTAGTCTTGTTTATGTGATCCCTTTGACTCTTAGTCCTATCATTATGATCAATTGTGAACAGAAATTGATCACTTGGACTAGGGAGAAGGCATTGGTACATCTTCAAATGGCTGCAACAGTAGCTCCAGACCCACGAGCCAGGAACCCCTATCCTGGTCTCCCACATAGGTGGCAGAGGCCCAAGCAATTGGCCCATCATCTGCTTGTCTTCCTAGGCACATTAGCAGAAGCTGGATTGGAAATGGAGCAGCATCTCTGATGACTAACCTTCTATGAGGCCCCACTTAATAGGTATACCATCTTAAGGCCAGTATTGTGGCACAGCAAGTTAAGCCACCACTTGTGACACCAGCATCCCATATCAAAATGCAGTTTAGAGCCCTGGCTATTTCTACTCCAGCTTCTTGCCAATGCTTTTGGGAAGGCAGAGGAAGATGGCCTAAGTACTTGGGCCCTTGCCACCATTGTGAGAGGACAGGATGGAGTTATTGGCTCCTGGCTTCAGCGTGGCCCAGACCACTATCATCACCATTTGAGGAATGAGCCAGCAGATGAAAGATCTCTCCCTTTCCCTCTTTTTCTCCCTCCTCTCACTTTCTCCCTCCCCTTTTCTCCCTCTTTTCCTCTTTCTCCCCCTTTCTCCCTTCCCTTCTTTCTCTTTCTCCACCTCTCACTCCCCATTTCCCCCCTCCACTTTCTCTTCCCCTCTCACTCTGCCTCTCAAAGAAAATAAATAAATAGAGGGGGGGGCTGTAGCACAGCAGGTTAATGCCCTGGCCTGAGGCTCTGGGATCCCATATGGGCACCAGTTCAAGACCCGGCTGCTCCACTTCTGATCCAGCTCTCTGCTGTGGCCTGGGAAAGCAGAAGATGGCCCAAGCCCTTGGGCCACTGCACCTACATGGGAGACCTGGAGGAAGCTCCTGGCTCCTGGCTTTAGATAGGCGCAGTTCTGGCCATTGCACCTATCTAATTCACTCTCCAATTGGGGAGTGAACCATCAGATGGAAGACCTCTCTGCCTCTCCTCTCTGTGTAACTCTTTCAAATAAATAAATAAATCTTTAAAATAAATAAATAAATAGAAATAAATGTTTAGGGGCTGACATTGTGGCACAACAGGCTAAGCCATTGCCTGTGATGACAACATCATATATTAAGGCAGAAATCTCTCTCTCTCTCTGTAACTCTGCCTTTCAAATAAATAAATAAATATTTTAAGAAACAAATTAAAAAATAAATAAGTTCCACCACCTCAACATTGCCACATTGGTGATCAAACTTCTAGCACAAGAACACACTCGAACCATACTTTCTCAGATCTAGAGACTTTGAACATTAATTTCAATACTACTGAGTTGCATATTGCATATATATATAATATATATATATGCAATATATGTGCACATATAATATATATTATATAATATATGCAATATACATATTATTATAATATATTATATATATTTTATCTTTATCCATAATCTTAAAATTCTGAGAATCAGTATATCTGACAGTCAAAGACAGCTGAAATGTTTAGTCCATAATAATTTCCTCTTGAACATAAATGGTGTATTTTTCTTAAAATGCATTAACCTACAGATGTACATACTTTATTGAGTCTGAGGAGTAGTGAATTCAAGGGATAAACATGCTAGAAATTACACTCAAATCTAGTAAAACAGTGGTAAAGCAGTAAATACTTAGGCAAATTTCCAGGTCATACAATCATTTTGAGTAAAATGTTAGAGGAAATATATTCCTAGTTGTCCAATTAATTAAATAAATTTAAAGGCTAACACTTGATATGTCAAGGGGAAAAAATAGCCTAGAGGGATTGAGTCTTCTTCTTTTCCTAGCCCCTTTTAGTCATTTCTGGAAGTTCTTTAGATTTTAAGTTTGTCTCAGTTTGATTCATTCAGTAAATTTCCAAGTCTTTTCTTGATAATAATTTTATTCCCCTGTCTGCCTTCTCTTAGCAACAGCTGACCTGGCTGCAAGCCCAAAACATGGTAAATGACAAATCACTACCAGATGAAGTTGAAAGTTTTACATAGAGTATTTCCTCCAGGCTCAGGACATTTTGAAATGTAACAATATTCCTGGAGTATTCAAAAATCACAAAGAGACTTTTTATGAAAATCCTCATGTTCTGCTACATGGTAAAACAGTAATCAAGAGTCTCATTTTCAAAAATCAAAAAAATAGAAAACAAGTTGCAAAAGGCCAGGAAAAGCTACATATGGTGATTGAAAAAAAAGTTATTAAACAAAAGATGTCATGACAAATTATTTGCTTTTAAATTATTTTCCCAATAGTTTGCTTTTAATTTTTATATTGTTAGTCTTAGTTCTAAATATTTATGACTATTCAGTACTAGCATATAAGTATGAAATATTAACAAATAACAAAGCTCTACTTTTTAAAACTTCATTGCTGGGTTTATGGACAACTTTCTAAGAGAACATGTACAATAATTTTTCTAGGATTTTATAATTTATAACATAGTAATAGAAAATTCAGTTCTGTAACTAAGTCCACAATAAAAACAAGCCTGTACATTTGAATCACAAAGAAAATTATCTCAGTAACTCTTCCTGATGGAAAATTCAGTTCTGTAACTAAGTCCACAGTAAAAACAAGCCTGTCCATTAGAATTACAAAGAAAATTATCTCAGTATAACTCTTCCTGATACTTTTATGCATAATTTTTCATCTCCTAGAAGTCCTAAGAATCTGTCTTTCTCAGGGCTCAACTGTAAATATCAAATTTTTAAATCCCCATGCTATGTAATTTATTCTGAAAAAATAACTGTAAAATCACCTCTTAAATGTATGTGGCATAATTTGAGGGTAATGCTTAAGATGTATTGACTGGTTATGTACACAAGTAGAATAGGTACAAGATTTATCAAATGAAAACTGAACATCTGTAAAATGCTTTGTAAAAAAATGCTAAAAAGTTATAAATCAATTTGTGGATGTTCAAAGCAATGCCTGTACTTTGCAGATTTGAATTACCCTCAGGCTTAACGATGCTTATATAGGGTTAGCCTTCAAGAAATCTCAAGAGCCAAATTTCTCCATGAATGTATTCCTATTTCCTTTTTGTAAAAAAAAAAAAAAAGTCACAATATCTTGTGATCAGAGAAGCTAGACTTTAATTCTTTGCACCTTACTAACTATGCAAATTTAAGTGTGTTGCTAACCATAATCCTCAATTCCCATACCTTAAAAGATGAAAATTGGTCATGGCTCTTTCATGATGACTATTTAAGAATTGCTTTTTGAATAAAAATCCAAGTAAGATTATATATAGGTAAAATGCCTTTTTAAACTGTGAGGCACTCTAAAGGGCAGGATATGTGATTCTAAAACAGCTCTCTCTCTCTGGCCTCACAATATTTATGCTGCATACTCTCTTCCATTTTTACTCCTCTTTGATATAAATCAATCCAAAATACTAGCCTACTAAACTTAGTGCTCAATTTATTCATGTGCTAATAAGAGACCTAGACCACTCACCTGAGAAATATGAAAGTATTTCTTTGGGCTTTCAAAGTGTTCTATTCATAACATGTTGTCTAACGTCTTAGTAAGTGTTCCCATAGGAATTAAGGCCTTGGTAAAGGATTGCTTATAAAAAGTTTCAGTAAACTGACCACTTCTACATTTCCCCTGAAACTCCAATCCAGACAAGGTAGATATGAATTTGAAATAAATAAACCTTTTTCCTATAGCAGAAAGAAAAAGCACAGAGGAGTTACTGACATTAAAAAGTAAATTGATGTTAAATCAACAACAGGATGGCCGGCGCCGTGGCTCAATAGGCTAATCCTCTGCCTTGCGGCGCCAGCACACCAGGTTCTAGTCCCAGTCGGGGCGCCAGATTCTGTTCCGGTTGCCCCTCTTCCAGGCCAGCTCTCTGCTATGGCCCGGGAGTGCAGTGGAGGATGGCCCAGGTGCTTGGGCCCTGCACCCCATGGGAGACCAGGAAAAAGCACCTGGCTCCTGGCTTCGGATCAGCGCGATGCAGCCATTGGAGGGTGAACCAACAGCAAAAAGGAAGATCTTTCTCTCTGTCTCTCTCTCTCACTGTCCACTCTGTCAAAAAAAAAAAAAAAAAAAAAAAAAGGAGTCACTGTGCACTTGCTCCCCACGTAGGACCTCTGTCCTTAATGAGCTGTACTATGAGAATTAACAGTAAAACTTGTCTTCAGACAGTACCTTATATTTTGTGTATCTATGTGGGTACAAACTGTTAAAATCGTTACTTAGTATAGAGTTAATCTTCTGTATATAAAGATAATTAAAAATGAATCTTAATGAAGGGTGGGATGTGAGAGGGAATAGGAGGTGGGACGGTTTGGGGGTAGGAGGACAGATACGGGGTAAAGAACTACTATGTTCCAAAAGCTTTACCTATGATTTTTATTTATTAAATAAACTTTTCTAAAAAAAAAAGAAATAGAACAGGGAAAAAGGTAAATTGAAACATTAAAGTTTATACTTTTATTAGTAAAAGAAAAAAATCTAGGGTTATTACACAAACCCCACACACACACACACACACACACCACTTCTACTTCTCAAAAATGAGAGTACTAGTTCACTTATGGAAATTTTTGGATTTTTCCTATATAAAAGTCTGAAGGAGTGTCAAGATTTGTTAACATTTTCATTTCTTTAATGTACTCATGATAAACAAGTAAAGACTGTGCTAAAGACAGAAATAACCCCTTATCCATAATCTGCTATAGCCATTGGAGGGAGTGGGGTACAGTGTGGGGGATAAGCATTTTTCCTAAAGAGAAAAACATGTCTTTTAAACTTGGACCAATGTAATACTACCAGGAGAATTCAAATACATTGCTTTATAGGGTAATATAAAAAATAAAAACAATGCAAGTTTTAAAAATGTGTTAAGAAGGGGCCAGAGTTGTGGCATAGTGGATAAAGCCACCACTTGTGACACTGCTAATGGTCTGGGAAAAAGCCCAAAGGTGGTCCAAGTGTTTAAGCCCCAGACACCTCCATGGGAGACCAGAAAGAAACTCTTGCCTCCTGGCTTCTGCCTGCCCCAGCTCTGGCCATTGCAACCATCTGGAGAGTGAACCAGTAGATGGGAGATATCTCTCTCTGTATCAGTCCCTCTCTTTCTCTCTCTGTAACTCTTTCAAATAATGCAAGTAAATCATTTTTAAAAATGGGTTAAGAAAATGACTGGAACATCATTCTTTTCTGTCACGATTATTACTCTTTTTAAACCAAAATTTTATAATGAATCCTCTAGTCCTAAGAAAAACAAAACAAATAAAAAATTTCTGTTACATGACTGATATAAACTATCTTAATGAGGACTTTCTCAGTTTACAAAATCCTCTTCTCAATTTCTCCTTGTCTTTCTCCTTGGCCTGAAGCTACTGCCTGGGTAAGGGCCACCCAAGGATGACAAAGAATGAATTCCAGGCAAATTCCATAGCCAGCCTGCTTTTCCCCCAAAGTAGTACAGTAAATAGTATAATAACTAATGCTGCAGTATACACAAGCTCTGAGTGCTTAATAACCCCCAAAAACGAAATTTCAGTGAGCTGAAGATAGAAGTAAAAGCAACTTCAAAGAGTCACGTCTAGACAACACCTTCCTGTCTCAGGGAACTGCCCGCAACCTTCACTCACACACAGACGAGCGAGAAGGAAAGCCTGTCAAATCTCATTGACCATAGGTAACCATACAGGGTAATTTCTCCTGATAATGTCACCCAAAAAGGAAATCCTACAGACTAAACCGATTAAGCCCTCAAGGGAAATATCGTATGAACAAAATTGTTTTTTGTTTTTTACTTTTGGGGGGGTTGTGAGGAAGATGAGGTTGTAGACAGGACTTTTTAAAAAAGAGTTGGCTCTTTTTTTGCAGAGGAAAAGAAAACAACTAAATTTGAGAAAAAAGTTCTTGTGAAATATAACAACACAAATATGTTTTACAAGTTTCTCCTAATAGATATTTATGAACTTTTAATCTTTGGTTCCTTACAATCTGAAAGCTTATGCCTTTTCAAAAGAACACTGATTAAAAAAAAAAAAACACACAGAAAAAAATGTTGACTTTGGTAATTTGAGTAGTTTGTATCATATTGTATGTGTCTGAGATGAGATAGGAAGACATGGCTTGTGATTAGCTGAACCGATTTTAGATGATCATATATTCAATATGAAGACACATGTTTATAGTATACATTCATCTATAAACAGCACAATGAAAGAACAATAAGTAGGGAATTAATTCTAATAATTTCAGGTTAAAAGCAGATGGGCTTATTATGGTGCTATATTTATTTTTTATTTGAAATGAACTTTCTAAAATTAAGACCAAAACTGCATGTTTTAAACTATTTTTTCTCCTTTTGCTTAAATATCCCTTTTAAATGCCCTTTTATTTATTTTTATTTACTTGAAAGACAGAGAGAGACACACAAGCAGACACAGAGACAGAGAAATCCATCCCCTTGTTCAGTCTTCAACTGCCTACAACACCCAGGACTGGTCTATACTGAAGCTAGGAGCTGGAAAAATCAGTCCAGGTCTCCTATGTGGGTAGCAGAAATCCAAGTACTTGATTCATCGCTTGCTGCTTCTCAGGGTGCACATTATCAGGAAATTAGAATGAGAAATAAAGTCAGAACTTGAACCAAGGCACTCTGATAAAGGAAGGCAGCGTTCCAAGCAGTGTGCTACAGCAAATGCCCCTAAATTGCCTTTTAAAAAGTCAAAGTTGGGCAGGCATTTGGTCTAATGTTTAAGACATCAATTAGGATACCTGCATCCCACATTGGAGTGCAGCTCCTCTCACAATTCCAGTTTTCCTTTAATGTAGTAAGCAGCAGATGATGGCTCAAGTACTTAGGTCTAGGTCCCTGCCATCCACATGGGAGACCTGTACTGAACTGCCAGTTCCTGGCTTCAGCCCAACAAACGGCTGTTGTGGGCATTTAGGGAGTGAATCCATAAAACAGAGCTTGCTCTCGCTCTCACGTGTTCTCTCTCTCTCTCTCTCTCCTTCTCAAATAAGTTTACTTAAAAAAAAAAAAAAGAGCATGAGTGTTTTATTTCTTCATAATGACCACTGATTCAGTGGGCTGCTTTATTTTGAAGTACATATGTATATTAACAAGTCTGCTTGACACTCCAAGATTGTATGCCTGATGAGTTACAACAAATTTTGCCCAAGAGAAACTTTAAGAAAACCTATTAAAAATTCTGTTGGGGAGGCATTGTTGTAGCCATTAAGACACCCTCATTCCATATCAGAGTGCATGGGTTCAAGCCCCAGCTCTGTTCCAGTTGCCAGTTTCTTGTAAACACACAACCCAGGAGGCAGCAGGTAATGGTCCAATATCTGTGTCCCTGCCATTCAACTGGGAGATCCTGAAGGAGTTTCAGGCTCCTGGCTTCAGCCTGGCCCCACCATGGCTATTGTGAGCATTTAGGGAGTGACCCTTCAAATGGAAGATCTCTGCCTGTCTCTGTGTCTCCCTGTCTCTCGGACTTTCAAACAAATTAAATAAATTTAAAACATTTTTAAAATTCCAACACTTATGTTTTTCTGATTACAAAAGTAATTAGGGATATATCGTGAAAAAATATGAGAAATGTAAAAACATTTTAAAAAAATCACCTTTGACCTTGTGACAATTTCATTCTACTCTTGTTTTCTCTCCATATATCACATTGGATATAGTTGTAATAATACTTTATATATGATACTTTACATATTTTAATTGCACAAATCTCATTTGAAATCTCTTCAGAAAAATAATTTTAATAACTGCACATTACTCCATCCTAAAAATATACTCTTTTATAAGATTTTATTTATTTGAAAGGAAAAGAGAGGGAGAAACAAAGAGAGAGAGAGACTGTCCATCTGCTGGGTCACTCCCCAAATGCCTGCAACAGTTGCAGCTGGGGCAAATCAAAGCCAGGAGCTGGGAACTCAATCCAAGTCTCTCACAAAGGTGGTAGGGATCCGACTACTTGAGCTAGCACCACTGCCTCTCAGGGTGTACATTAACAGCAGCTGGAATAGAGAGCGCAGCCAGAGTTTAAACCCAAGCACTCCTATATGGGTTGTGGGCATCTCAAGCAACACCTTAAACATTAGGCTCAAATGCCTGCCCCTATACTATATCTCAGTGATTCAGTTATTTTGGCTATCTTGCTTGCTCCAAATACTTTACTATAAAAAAAAAAAAAAAAGTCGTACTCTTTTTGCACATAATTTGAGGCAATTGACAAACTTTTTTAAGGTCCTTCTTCTGTTTCCTTCCTTAAAGTAGGGTAACAGACTTTGATTAGTACTGATAAACAAAAAGCCATCAGGGAAAAAATACCCATAATGGTCCTCCTTGTGGAACCTCAGTATGACACATTTCCTTCTAGTAACTCTCCCTTATTTTAACATATTTAAAATTGATTGTGCATACAAGTTTGTAAATAGCTTTTATCAATTAGTATATCAGAAGCATTTTCATATGGCATCAAAATTATTTATGCTATTTATTAATTGCATAATTATTAATGACTACATTAGGTTCTATCATTTGAGTGAAGTATAATTTACCTAACCACATCCCTAGGCATTTAGGTGGTTTACTCTATTTCCATATTACAAATAAAGCTATCTCAAACATCTTGGAGTGTAGGCTTTAGTAAAAATCTTGTATTATTTCCTTTGTATAGGTGATAAAAATATTTTATTATAAACATCATAAAGCTTCACTGCTATATATTGTTAAAACTGTACTAATTCTTATTCTTGTCAAGAATGTAAATTACCTTCACTCTCGGTAGCTTTACATGTCTTTTAAGCCTTACTAATCTAAGTTGTAAAAAAGATAATCTTATTGCACTACTATTTGTATTTTCTCAGATATTACTGAGGTTACAATTTTTTCTTCTGTTTATTAGCCATTTGTAATTCCTCTTTTAATAAAATGATCACACATTTTGCTCATTTGTGAGATTTTACTTAATGAGTCATATGACCCCTTTATAGAACAAACTTAATCCTTTGTCTCCTTTACTACAAATTTACTATGTTAGAAAATTCACTATTTAAGTGAATTTTATTTAACATACCATAACCAACTTTATTTAACATACCATAGTTTATATAACTGGTATGTCAAAAACATTCCCTGAAATATTTTAGATGCTACTACGTAAATGCATAAATTTACTCATGAATATTCTCTCTATAGAAAGCATAATTCTATTTATATAATCACAACCCTAAATAAGCAGTTTAAATTAAATTAATATGCTGTTTTTGAAAATGGATTAAGTGTACTTTTATCACTATAAAGAGGTATCACTGTAAGTGATAATGTAATTTACATGTTTGCTTCCAAAATGGAAAGCATGTACTTATACAAAGAAATCACCAGATATAGACACTACTGTATAGAGTTCTCTACAACATCCTTAAATCCTTAGTTATGAAAGAATGCAATAAGCGAACAAATTTTCACATAATGAATCTGTTTTTTGAGTAGAAAAATTTAAATAAATTTGGCCAAATTCTTCATTTCATTAATAATGTGGGATATATTTTACAAAAACAATATTTTATTTCACTCAAGATTATAAAAGGAAGTTACTGTAATCATAGATATGGCTATCATGTCAATATACTTATAGGTACTAATCAGGATGAAAAAACACTCAAATGACAGACTGTCTTTCTACATTCACAAAGCTTTTTGAATATTCACTTTAATTTAACTATATATTTTGAAACTTATTTTTCAAACTATAAATAGCTAATGAGAGTATTATGAATACCCTTTTATTTTGCTGCTTTTGGGCTTAGAAAATTTGTAATGAAAAATGTTTTTAAAAAATCAACTTGGAGGAGAAATTTGGATTGTTCATTTTCATAAGTAAAATATATCAACTTACTAGCAACCAATGAATAAAAATTTCTACATAAGTACCACCATCAATAAATGCTTTACTCTGGTAGAAGTTTAGGTAAGCATATATAATAGAATGCATTAAGTAAAACCCTGAAAAAATAATCAGATTACTTTCAAAAGAAAACAATTCCAAATTAAAATCTTTTTTTGACTGAAAAATATGTGATGCAAGTTAAAACTGATCCAAACACTCTCTAACAGTAATAAATTGGAGGTGACAGAACAGCAAAATGTCAGCCTACATATTACTAACTTCAAGATGAGACTCTTCCTAATTTTTTCATACAAAAATAGAAATCTTCCATGTTGTACAGTCAAATATGTCCTGTGTTAGCATTTTATTGGCTAAAAGCAGGACCATTTTTCTCATTCACAATGAAATCAACTTTGTTCATTTTAAGAACCTATACTTTTTTTTTCATAGTATTCAACAAATGAAGAAATAAATTTTATAATTCAAAATGCAAATTAATTCTGCCTGTGAGATTTTGAGTGGTGTTTATTTGTATACTTACAGATTTGTAATGAGTATGATATATCATATTTATAGTTAAAAATTAAATAACTTTTAATGGACCTCAAAATATTTTTCTGATTTATCTTCATGAAAAAAGTTTGCTTAACACAGCAGTATATTTACATCTATTACAAAATGTAGCCATGAAGTCATTATATCTGCTATTATAATTTATGAGATAAACAGTTCATATGTAACAAATATTTCTGACTCAAATTGAATCATTTTAAACAATTGCCATACCTAGGGATCCCTGGATGGCATTATTTTCAAGCTTCTCTGAACCATCTAAGTATTGTATGATCTTTCCCATTCTTTTCTCCATTCTAAGTCAAACATAAAACAAACCTACCTTGATTCACATGAGTTTTTTATCTAATGATATGGACATCACGAAACTGCTGGCACTATGCCTTTGATGCAGCAGATGGAACACAGCTAAGAAAATAAAAGTAAAACTTCAACTCTGAATGCACTGTTACTTTGTTTAAACATAACTCATTATTTCAAATCTTAAAATGTAAAAATATATCTAGTGCTGGCATACCTTAAATGTAAAAGAAAACAAAATAACCTAGACTCTTCGTTACAATGTGTCTTTGTAGTTTGATTGAACACATCAATTATTTCAAAGTGCCTTTCTCAAATCTTATTTTTTGCTTTCAAATTGCCTTTAAACATTTTAGAACATATTCATTTTCCTATCTGTGGTTACACAGAATAATGCATATAAAACTAATGACTACATTTTAAACCTAAATTATTTCTACCTAGATATGGCAATCTTAATTAATAAATATGTATTGTAATATTCTGTTAGCCATATATGGGCATAATTAATAGACTATTACAAATGTCAGAAACATTGTAATTCCCAATATGTTAAATATTATCCAATATTATAAACATAATTATGATTTTAAGTACATTTAGCTATAAGGACTAAAACTATTACATTCTTTAAAAAACAAACTAGTATTTTAATTTTTATTATATTTTTAAAAGCTTAAATTTAAAAGCATAATTTCCTTCATACAAAGACAGTTTAATATGTAGCTTATTAGGCAGGAAATAAACTCATAATTTCCCCAATCTCTGTTTATCAGTCACAACTCTATTGGCAATGAAAAGATCCAAAGAAATATATCACAGTTTTCAAAAAGTGATTGTTTTATTATTTTCCCCAGAAAATATTTTATTTTGTCATCTTAATAATAAAAAATTAATCTTCACTGTCTTATCACTGTATTTCCTTCAGTCTCTATAGCTGCTTAACATGGAGAATTTTGAGATGTTGACAAAACAAAAGCCACTGAAATTCCTTGCTAATTTACTTTGAATAAGAATCCACTGTAAGAACCTTTGATCAAAAATAAAGAATAAAAATGCACTTGCCAAGAGTCAATTAAAATACACCTTATTTATGCTCTAATTTTGATCCATTACTTTTATACATTAATTGATAATAAATACCAGATACATTACTAACAAATCTTCTAAAAGTAATGTAATAAAATATTTTTCAGAGCATACTTTTAAGAAATTCTAAGCAAAACAAATATCAACCCTACATTTGTGTAATTTAAATGGAATTTTGGTTATTCTCACTATAATTTTCATCATTCATAAATCTCTACTTAGTATTGCTCTTTGATAATAAGATAAAGTATTTTATCATCAGTACTATTTTAAACAATTTCTCATTTTCCAAGGAGAAGATTAGGAAAGGAATGCTCTAAAATTAGAAACATTTTACTTGTATTTTAAATCTTGCTGAGATTTGGACTTCATGTTGACTTCGAAAACAAATTTAACAACAGATACAATAGCATGGCAGTCAATATAAGATATACTTCAATATTAAGAATATTTTTAACTTCATTTCACCTTTCCCTCAGATACATAAAAATCCTTTCCAAAAGCTAAATGCTGATTAAACTGTAATATCCTACACAGACCTAAGAGTAGATCTAACTATTTGGCTGAAAGACAAATAAATAAATAAATAAATAAAGACAAAAACACTTGAACAAATACATTTTCACTGAACTTAAAAGGTACAAAGTAGTTACCTGTGACTGTTTTATCATATACAATATATATATATAATACTTGCACATTCTTTGGTTGAAATAAAGCATTTTCCTATACTTACGATTTTACAGAAGGGGGGAATTAAAAAAAAAGACACTACAATTTGTTAAGTCAACAACAGGAGTCACTGTGCACTTACTCCTCATGTAGGATCTCTGTCCTTAATGTGCTGTACATTGTGATTTAATGCTATAACTAGTACTCAAACAGTATTTTTCACTTTGTGTTTCTGTGTGGGTGCAAACTGTTGAAATCTTTACTTAATATATGCTAAACTGATCTTTTGTATGTAAAGAGAATTGAAAATGAACCTTGATATGAATGGAAGGGGAGAGGGAGTGGGAAAGGGTAGGGTTGTGGGTGGGAGGGAAGTTATGGGGGGGGAGGGGGAGAAGCCATTGTAATCCATGAGCTGTACTTTGGAAATTTATATTCATTAAATAAAAGTAAAAAAAAAAAAGACACTAAACCTGTATCCTTTCTAAAGAACATGTTTAAAACAGCATGGAATAGCCAATAATAGCTTATTTTAAAAGTCCCTAGTATTCTGGAAATACTTTAAAATTACTAATACGTATAACTTTGGTCATTTATCTATTGCACCAACTGCTGAACATCGAAGTCTAGTTAGGAAAGATTGCCAGCTACACTGCCTAATTAGAGCAAATTATGAAAAGAATTGAAGCTTAAAAAAAAAAAAAAGGAGGGAGAGGTGACACATAAGTCAAGAAAAGTTCCTCACTCTAATCATATGCCCTAGGACTCATTCCCTATACTACAAGAGAATTATAGACTTTCCAGTTAATCTCCCTAATAAAGACTTTTCAAAACCAAAGTCTAAGCCAAAGAGAAGTAAACATCCCAGAAGTTTACTCTGAAGTATTTTTTTTTACATGCATTCCCCCCATCGACAATTAAATGTTAAGAAAAGTGTAGGTAAGTGAAATATGGAAGTCTCAATTAGCAGAGTTGAAGCATAACTAGTTCTGAATTTCTGGCTGGCAAATATCAGTGATACACAGTTACCCTCTGCTTTCATGCTTTTCAAAAGATCTCAAGTTTGAGTCTTTAACTTTCCTCTTGATTCTATTTATGGTGCATAATATTTTGAGAATTCACAAAAATAAATAACTATGTTACACTTTAAAACACAAATTCCCCTAATTTTTTTCCTCACAACATCAAATTTTGTTAACACATAAAAATTTATTTAAAAATTTCATTTCTAAGAAACCAGGAGAAACATAATCTATGAGGAACATCTGTCCCATGTAAATCCACAAAATCAAAAATACTGTAAACAAAACAGGTGAACAGCAAGTCAATACAGAAGAAAAGAAAAAGCTATACCTCAAAGCAAATTTTCAAAAATATTTAGGATACAGGATTGTATCCTCCAAAAACTCTAATTCCTCATCAGACATTGAATTAATGATTCAATTACATACTCAACAGACCAAAAATATTCTGAAAAGCAAAAAGCTGGAGGAATTGAAGATTTGATAATTACTTGAAAGTACAAAATAATTTCCTAAAAATGGAAGCTTTAGCTACAACATGATAAGCAAATCAATTTTATTATTTTCTCTGATCTAAACTACCACATTAGCTAACAGTTATAAATAATTGATGGATATGGAAAACTTCTTTGTAAAGCAGTTTTATATAGTAATCTTGCCCATCCAAAGTTTTGCTTTCAAAGGTTTCAATTAGGTGAAGTAAACCATGGTCCAAAACCATTAAATAGAAAATTCCAGGCCTCCAGGACGGCGCCGTGGCTCAATAGGCTAGTCCTCTGCCTGCGACACCGGCACACCGGGTTCTAGTTCAGGTCAGGGCGCTGTATTCTGTCCCGGTTGCTCCTCTTCCAGTCCAGCTCTCTGCTGTGGCCCGGGAGTGCAGTGGAGGATGGCCGAAGTACTTGGGCCCTGCACCCCATGGGAGACCAGGAGAAGCACCTGGCTCCTGGCTTCAGATCAGCGCGATGTGCTGGCCGCAGTGCAGCAGCCACGGCGGCCATTGGAGGGTGAACCAACGGCAAAGGAAGACCTTTCTCTCTGTCTCTTTCTCTCACTGTCCACTCTGCCTGTCAAAAAAAAAAAAAAAGAAAGAAAATTCCAGAAATAAAAAAAAATTCATAATTTTAAAGAATATTTATCTTGGGACTGGCACTGTGGCATAGCAGGTAAGGCCGTCGCCTGCAATGCTGGCATTCCATATGGGCACCGGTTCGAATCCTGGCAGCTCCACTTCTGATCCAGCTCTCTGCTAATGCCTGGAAAAGCAGTAGAAGCTGGCCCAAGCCCTGGGACCCCTGCACCAGCATGGGAAGACCCAGACAAAGCTCCTGGCTCCTGGCTTTGGCTCGGCACAGCTCCAGCCATTGCTGCCAATTGGAGAGTGGACCAGCGGATGGAAGACCTCTCTCTCTGCCTTTCTTTCTCTCTCTGTGTAATTCTGACTTTCAAGTAATTAAAATAAATCTTAAAAAATAAATAAATAAGAATATTTATTTTGGAGTATTATAAGAATTATTTTTTATTATATCTTATTGTTAATCTCTTAATGTGCCTAACTTATAAATTGAACTTCATCATAGGTGTGTACAATGGAGCTTCAAGAAATTCATGGAAGACTGAATTAAAAGAAAGTTTATTTTGGTGCACAAAAAATTTGAAATCCATGTATAAGAGGGGTCTTCAAAAAGTTCATGAAAATGCATATTAGGAAAACACTATGCAGACATCAAAAATTCTGCACCACAATAAACTTTTAAATCCATTTTCTAAGAATTTTTTGAAGTATCCTGATGTTTATAGAAAAAAAATTTTAAAACATGGTAAATGCAGAGTTTTGTACTATTCTTGGTTTCAGGCATCAACTGGCAGTCTTGGATTCTATCTTCAATGGATAAGGAGGGACTACTACAGTAGGTTTGCTGAAAGCAAGATAGGTTTAAAAAAAAAAAACTTAAGTTTAGCATTCTGAAATTTACAACTGATTCTGAAACTAGTAATTTCTAAATAAGGTTTATCTACCTTTGAGAATTTTGCCTGTTTTTAATTTTTCCTACCCTCATGACTATAAAGTTTTGATGTTGCCTTTTAAGTTAAAAATTATCAGCTCCATCACTATCATCAGCGATGATAGCCTAGAAGAAGGAAGTAAAAATCTCTTTTTCTTTCACTGTATTTTTACATTGTTCAGAATCTAACATTAATTTATTCAATTATACAACAAATATTTGTTGAGCACCTGCAATACAATGAACTAAGTATAAGAAATAAATACAAAGAAATGTTTTAATAGGATTTTACCTATAAAAAATCACAAAGATCTATTTAAATTAGAAAGTCTGGAAGAGGATGTATTGATAAAATATGTGCCATATATTGGTTTTATTCTAATTTGTTTTGCTCTTTAATTATTTGTTTTATTTGCTTTGAAATTTTAGAGGATTTATCTATGTCTACTTTCAGAGTTGAATTAAATATTACATCAATAAGACTTCGTAGTAAACAAAGAGTAGAAACAAAGAAGGATTCACAACTTTATTCAGAAGAATATGAGAAACTGGTTTTGAAAGAAATTATTTTTAACAGTATCATTGTACAGTGGAATACATGGTTCATACATGTTTTTGTATTAACAGCTATTCCCACCCATGAGAAAAAAACAGTTATAGAGTAACTTGCTTATCGTCTATCTCAGCCACATGCCTATGTTCAACAAGGGATGAGGAAAGACTATTCTATTCTTAAGTAATTCCATAGTGCCTGTCACAGTGCTTGGCAAATAGCAGGTACTTGGTAAACGTGTGTTGAATGAATATCCACAGGCCATCTTTTCTATTCTATGACTGTCCAAATAAAGGGTCTACTGCTACTCTGCTTGTCACTCAGGTTACTAATACTCTATATTAAAAAAAAAAAAAAAAAGGCAGCTCTAACTACTCCTCTTCTTTAGAGAAGAACCTTGGGGCTATAGCTTTTTCCTCTCCCTGTCCCCAGAGAGTTTTGACTTCATTTTCCCAAAGGCTTCAACAATCAGCACACATCCGTCGGAAGACACATAGTTAAACTGTGCTAGGTAAGCAACCTTCTGGTTCAAGCATTTCTGTCCTACCTGACATTCTACCAGGATGTCCAGATGTGTTTTCTCCATGTAAGAAGTCCTTTTAGGACCTTATTTTGTAAAGCCTTCAGAAAGGCTGAAACCATTCTAATCCTTGAGTTCTATACTATCTACCAAAATATGACATAAACCATTAACAACCCTCATCATGGTACCTAAGCGCTAATGAGCTCTTATCATTGTGAGTTTTGTTTGTTTACATTTAGAGCACATCTCACAATTCATGCTCTATAGACTCATAATTTGTCTAATATTTGTTTATTATTTCTTTACATTTTTAAAATTTTTATTTACTTATTGTCATTTATTTTAAAGGTAGAAAGATAAAGAGAGCTCTTCCCTATGCTCGTTCACTAGCCCAAATGCCCACAATAGCCAGGGCTGGGCCAAGTGGAAACCAGAATTGAATCCAAGTCTCCCATGTGAAGGAAATCCTACTACAAGTGCCTTCATTTGCTTCCCGAATTAGTGGAAGGCTGGATCATAAGCAGAGGTGACATTGGATCCTGGGCACTCAAATATGGGATACAGGTCTCCCAAGCAGTGGCTTAACCTGCTGTGCCACAACACCCACTCCTTCCTGTTGTATTTTATCTCTTTCCACATTGATATTACTATCTGGTCATTAAAGTTTTTTTAAGATTTCTGTACCTATTTATTTATGTGAAATTCAGAGTTAGAGAGAGAGAGACAGAGAGACATAGAGACAGAGAAATCTTCCACCTGCTGGTTCACTTCCCAGATGGCCAAAACAGCCAGGACTGTGTCAGGCTGAAGCCAGGAGCCAGGAGCTTCATCCAGGTCTCCCACATGGGTGCAGGGGCCCAAACACTTAGGTCATCTTCTGTTCCTTTTCTCAGGCCATTAGCAAAGATCTGGACCAGAACTGCAGCAGCCAGGGCACACACAATGGGATGCTCTCGTCTCAGGTAAGAGAGTCAGGTAAGCCTATCTGGACAACAGGGTAGCAGATAAAGAATATACAAAGTGCCAACCAAGCACAAAAATCAAGTATTTAAGTCAAACTGTGCCAATCAGATTGTGTAAGGAAATCTATATGGTTTGCAAATGGTATTCCAGAATGCAGCTTTCAAAGTTTAAATTCTAGGTCCTCATTAACATTCTGTTATATGGAATGACAACTACAAACTTAGCTTCAGGTTAAGCTCAATTAATTAAAGATTTATGCATTTAAACTCTGCCTGTCAAAAAATAAAATAAAATAAAATAAAAAATTAGTGACTATGTTTTGGAGGATAGCCTAAGGCTCTAACAGATTTTAGGATCTTAAAGACAGATCTTCAAAAAGGTAGATAATAGAAATGCCTTATTTCTGACCAACAAAGAAAAGCTATATTCTTCGTTATATTAAAGCCACATCAAAGCCAGCGCCGCGGCTCACTAGGCTAATCCTCCGCCTAGCGGCGCTGGCACACCGGGTTCTAGTCCCGGTCGGGTGCCGGATTCTGTCCCGGTTGCCCCTCTTCCAGGCCAGCTCTCTGCTGTGGCCAGGGAGTGCAGTGGAGGATGGCCCAAGTACTTGGGCCCTGCACCCCATGGGAGACCAGGAGAAGTACCTGGCTCCTGCCATCGGATCAGCGCGGTGCGCTGGCCGCAGCACGCTGGCCGCTGCGGCCACTGGAGGGTGAACCAACGGCAAAGGAAGACCTTTCTCTCTGTCTCTCTCTCTCACTGTCCACTCTGCCTGTCAAAAAATAAAATAAAAAATAAATAAATAAATAAATAATACATTAAAGCCACATCAAATGTACAGTTGTGCTCTAAAAACACATGCTCTTAAGATATCAAGGAAGATGAGAAGCCATATTATCAGAATATCTAATAGGAACATATCACATTTTCTGTGTGTTACCTAATACTCACTAAGCCTCTGGATACAGAAAAACTGAGCTATATTTTTAAACTACTTGTTGATTTGTTAAAGAGGTTTTGGCACAACCATAACATGAAAATTGTTTGGATTTCACATCTTAGAGTTCTCCGCAAAAACCCTAATTCAATACAAAACTATCAAATTTTTAAACTGAATCCCAAAAATCAGTTAAGTATAGAAAAGGAGATAATGAAAGTGCTAACTTTGGCTAAACAAACAAAAAAAGCCTAACTGAAGGTTTAAATCATAGGGGTAATACAGAGGTGAAGGTTAAAACAGAGGTTCTTGGGACCAGCACTGTGGTGCAGGTTAATCCTCTGCCTGAAGCGTCTGCATCCCATATGGGCGCCGGTTCTAGTCCCGGCTGCTCCACTTCCTATCTAGCTCTCTGCTATGGCCTGGGAAAGCAGTAGAAGATGGCCCAAGTCCTTGGGCCCCTGCACCTACATGGGAGACCCAGAGGAAACTCCTGACTCCTGGCTTCGGATCGGTGCAGCTCTGGCTGTTGCGGCCATCTGGGGAGTGAACCAGCGGATGGAAGACCTCTTTCTCTGTATCTACCTCTCTCTATAATTCTCTCAAATAAATAAAATAAATCTTAAAAAAAAAAAACAGAGGCTCTGTTTCTTACCCATTTTCTCACCTTTGTCCTCCTCCATGTCTTTTTCATCCTTGGGCATTTCCTTCGTGACCACAATAGGGTTGTATTTGCTACATTCTCTCTAGTTTACATCTAGGGAAAATAGGAATGTATATGATCCTAAGGATAATATAAAACTCTGGAGGATCATTTTGGCCAGACAATCTTATTTCATTAATTCTTTGAAAAATATTTATTGATCAACTACTATACTATGTCAGATACTATTCTTTGGCATTGGAAATACAGCCAGCCATAAACAAAACAGAGTTCCTTATCCTAATGGACTCTAAGTTCTTAAAGCAATGGCTGACTTAATCATAGTGAAATAGAGGATGATTTACCTCCATTTGTTTCCTACTCCTGGATCTAGGATTAGGGTCAATTCCAATCAGATCATATAACTATTACAAGATGGTGCATGGAATAGAATGAATGCTGGTAAAGCCAGCTGTATTTGTTAATCTCACCTATCAATATTTTAGTGATGGGTAGTAAAAACAAATTAGATCAGTTTACATACAATTCTGTATGAATTGGAAAAGATATATAAATAGAAATGTTTTACATGAAGATAACCTTTACTTTGTGGAGTATGGAAGTAATCCCCTGCAGTATGGTCACAAATTCCAACCAAGTAATAGTTCTATGATCTGATTGGAATTGACCCTAATCCTAGATCCAGGAGTAGGAAACAAATGGACATTAAAGCTTACAAAAGCATTAGTCATGACAGTGTTCATACCACAATAATTAGTATCAGGAAATATACTGTTAAATCTTTAAAAAAAAAAACTATACATTTCTGGAAAGTAAAATATCTTCCTACTATTCCTGACCTTTCTCACAGGTGTCTCAGCTCCCCACAGTATATTCCATGAAGAACTGAATAGAAGATGTTCAGTCCAAATTCATTACGTCTACCAGAAAACACAACAAAACAAAATGTATGTCATACTCATCATGCTGGATGACAAGTCTCCTTAAAATAAAGGACAGGAAATAGAAATATATTAAGCTTATTAACAAACGGCATTTGGATCACACTACCAGTTTTCTGCTCTGTCTCATCAGCATTATTATCGGAGTTTATTTAACACTAAAGCTGAATAACCAAAAATAAGATCCCAGAGTTATAATTTTTAAGAGAATTAAATTCATTGAGCCTGCAGCAGGCACGAACTAAATAATCAAGCAACTGTCCAATTCAATAAATACGAGTGCTCAAAGAAAAGAGAAATAACCTCTAGCTTGAGTGAAAATGCTCATGCACAAGGCAACATTTAAGTTAGGCTTTAAAGGTTGAAGGAAAAGAAGTGAAACAATGAAAGAGGATTGTTTGGGAATTTGCAAATACTTTGATTGGCTAGAGTAAGCAGATTATCAACAGCAGCAATTAGCCAACTGTAACAAATGTTTGAAAAACTCAGAATTGCATGATTTAAAAATCTGTACACTTAATCTTTGTGAATTCAATAATTTTGTAGAGTAGTTTTTGCTTCAGGGGATGTCATGCTTTGCTTTTGCTTTCAAAACTTTGAAGAATAACTTTAAATATATTTCTCATTTTGTTAGACCTGGATTCATACACTGAGCTGGAGTCAGAGTTAACTTCTTCTCTTAAGACAATTTTGATTAGCTTTGAAGAAGGAACTCTTACTAGTCTGGGATGGAAGTTGGTCCACTAACAACAGGGATATAAAGAAAAAAAATCTTCTGGAGGACTTCCATAATTAAAATTTCAAAACTGGAAACTGGTGCTATGGCATAGTGGGTTAAGCCACCATCCCATATAGGCACCTGTTTCAGTCCTGACTGCTCCACTTCCAATCTAGTTCCCTGCTAATGCACTTGGGATAGTGGCAGAAGGGGCCAAAGTACTCAGGTACTTTGCACCCACATGGGAGACCAGGAAGACACTCCTGGCTCCTTGCTTCGGTCTGGCCCAGCTCTAGTCCTTGCACACATTTGAGGGGTGAGCCAGGGGATGGAAGATCTCTCTGTCTCTCCCTCCCTCTCTCATAACTCTACCTTTCAAATAAAATAAATAAATCTTTAAAAAATTGATTTCAAAACTGGGTTAAGAAAAGCTCTAGAAAATCTGTGAACATGTGATTTACCACTAGTTTAAAAGACTTTCAAAGAGAATGATGACTTACTCTGATGACTCTTATCTCCCCAGAAAGCAGGAAAGCTGAGGGTGAGAAAATTAAGTGATGGGGGCCCATTGTGGTGCAGCAGGTTAAACTACCACCTATGATAATAGCACTTCATATCAGAGAACCAGTTCTGATTCAGCTCCCTGTTAATGTGCCTGAGAAGACAGAAGATGAGAATGGCCCAAGTTATTTGTGCTCCTACCACTTTGGGTGACCCTAATGGAGTTCTAGGCTTCTGGCTTCAGCCTGGTCAAGCTCTGGCTGTTGTAGTCATTTTGGGAGTAAACCAGCAGATGGAAGATCATTGTCTCTCTGACTCTCTGACTCTCTGACTCTCTGACTCTGTGTGTGATTCTGCCTTTCAAATAAACAAATCTTTTTCAAAAAGAAAAAAGTTATTTTTTCAAGGTCTTCACACAGGTAAAAACAGAAGGGACTGATCAGCAGACTCCAGCCCTAAGAGCTTTCATTTCAGCATTCTGTCCTAAGAAACAAGGGGCTTGAAGAAAATGGAGAGAATCAGAAATGAAATGTGTCAGGGCCGGCGCTGTGGCGCAACAGGTTAATGCCCTAGCCTGAAGCGCCAGCATCCTATACGGGCACTGGTTCTAATCCCAGCTGCTCCTCTTCCAATCCAGCTCTCTACTATGGCCTGGGTTAGCAGTAGAGGATGGCCCAAGGCCTTGGGCCCATGCACCTGCGTGGAAGACCCAGAATAAGCTCCTGGCTCTTGCCTTCGGATCGGCACAGCTCCAGCCACTGCAGCCATCTGGAGAATGAACCAGCGGATGGAGGACCTCTCTCTCTGTCTCTACCTCTTTCTGTAACTCTGTCTTTCAAATAAATAAAATAAATCTTAAAAAAAAAAAGAAAGAAATGAAATGTGTGACGATAGCTAGTAGAAATCAATTGATCATATACACAGATCTGTGATTATGGTGAGGCAAAATGAGATGCAATATCCTCTAGAAAGAAAGTATAATTCAGACTTACTCCAAAAACCATGATTAAACAGAAAAAATTAAAATGCAATGTTTCCTCAAGGGCTGAAGGCATTCAATTAATTCAATCAGATGATGGCACCTTTCTCTTCTGATATTTTCCATCTATGCTTAAAAGAAGAAAATTATGGCCGGCGCCATGGCTCAATAGGCTAATCCTCCACCTTGCGGCACCGGCACACCGGGTTCTAGTCCCGGTCGGGGCGCCAGATTCTGTCCCGGTTGCCCTTCTTCCAGGCCAGCTCTCTGCTATGGCCCGGGAGTGCAGTGGAGGATGGCCCAAGTGCTTGGGCCCTGCACCCGCATGGGAAAGCAGGAGAAGCACCTGGCTCCTGGCTTCAGATCAGCGCGATGCGCCGGCCGCAGCGGCCATTGGAGGGTGAACCAATGGCAAAAAGGAAGACCTTTCTCTCTGTCTCTCTCACTGTCCACTCTGCCTGTCAAAAAAAAATTATATTTTGATCACTAAAATGATTAGACATAGTAAGTAATTTCAATCTTGATATAATTCTTCTAAGTGCCAAAATAAAAACTTTCTCTGAAGGGAGGAGAGAACCTCCACTTTGACTATGACCTTGTCTAAACAAGATAAGAATCGGAGAACTCAGAGGGCTTCCATAGCCTTGGAAACTCATGACCGGAGCATAGGGAGATTACTGATGCCATAGACAGGAGTGTCAATTGGTAAAGTCAACAACAGGAGTCACTGTGCACTTACTCCTCATGTAGGATCTCTGTCCTTAATGTGCTGTGTATTGAGATTTAATGCTATGACGAGTACTCAAACAATATATTTCACTTTGTGTTTTTATGGGGGTGCAAACTGTTGAAATCTTTACTTAATGTATACTAAACTGATCCTCTGTAAAAAAAAAAAAAAAAAAAGAAATTATCAACTCCCAACTTGACTCTCACTGGGATTCAACATGACAATAGGTCTGATCTGATTTCATCATCATTTAAAAAAAATCATCTATTATCTTTCACTTTATGTTTCTGTGTGAGAGCAAACTGTTGAAATCCTTACTTAATGTATACTAAGCTGATCTTCTGTATATTAAGATAATCGAAAATGAATCTTGATGTGAATGGAAGGGGAGAGGGAGTGGGAAAGGGGAGGGTAGTGGGTGGGAGGGACAGTATGTGGGGGAAGCCATTGTAATCCATAAATCGTACTTTGGAAATTTATATTCATTAAATAAAAGTTAAAAAAAATAAATAAATAAATAAAAAGCTTTGCATCTGGATTTTTGTTCTAAAATACCCAGAACTTCTATAAACAAAAATTTTGACATTTTTATTAGTCTGCTAAATAGTGCATCCACAATTTGTTTAAATGAAAAATAAGCTCAGCTTTTTAGGTCTGGGATAATTAATTTCCAAAGCTAGCAAATATATGGTAGAAAAAAATAGCAAATATGATTTCAGTCACCAATGGCCTTGAATGACAATTTCTGTAGAATCCTCCTCTCCTCCCCTAATTGTCTATAAAAGTTTTCAGTAATAGAAGTTTAAAATAATTTTTGCAGAAGAGTGAGCATGAGAAGGTGAGAAGAAAAGAGTTGTTTCAGATTTTTTAATTTAACAAAGGAAAAAAATAGCTAGCCCCAGTACCATACCCAACCACTTCCCTTTGTACAGGTTCCACAAAGGAAGAGTTGTGATATGACACACAAAATAAAAGAGTAGATGTTTCAGGAACAGCAAATTAATGTTATCCCACTTGAAAATGTACAGAAAGTATGTTGTCTTAAAAGTCATAAGTTAATACCTGAAAACCTTTGAGGGATAGTTTGATCCTATCCATACAAGAAGGACTTTTAAATTTTAAAAACACAAATACTGTGTTGAACTCAACAGATATTTCACCAATTCAAAGCCCAAGGAAAAGATAGAAATCACTACAGAATTCCAAGAATAAGCGAAGTACATATTTGTCAGTCTCGCCAATGAACTGGGAATTTTCTGAGAGCAAGGATCACCCATATCTTACTCTTGTTTGTATCACCAGCACCTCATACATTGCAGGTGCTCAAAACTTGCTTGGTAAATTGAACTCACAGGCGGTATTATCATTTTCTCTAAACAATCATTGACACCCATTTTCATATAATTGTAAAAGATTTTTTAAGAAAAAATGTATCCAGTTAACTGTTTTCCCAATCCTTTATTTTAGGAGTATAACCATGACCTAAATATGTACAGGAAAAGGTATTAGACCTTAAAGAAGAACATAGAAAATTGGTGTAAAACTCCACATTGACTAAATCAGGTTTGTTATTTTATCCATTAAACAGTCTAAGCAGATTAATTGGAACCAGACATGTGAATAATCATGAGGTTTGTACTTAAGTAACATCAGTTATTTAAAAAATTTATAGTTTACATTTTGAGACAACCAAATTAACAGTTTAAGGAAAATGTAGATCTTGATAAATAATTTTTTGAGTATTTGTAGGCAGAAATGTTAGGACTCATACTCTTTCTACAACCAAACGTATCTCATGGTACCAAGGTAGTTGATTCCAAATGTTTTGCATAAATAATGTCAATTACCCACATTGCCATGTATATATTTTATTTAGAAATTAAATGCACCAAAACAAAGATTTGTTTTCCTAAACAAATACAAAGAATGACTAAACACTGCTAAGTAGTTCACTGGATACACCTCTAATCTTAGCATCTGATTAAAGGGCAGCAAAAGCAGGTAACAACTGAAAGAATAGGACAGCCTGTTTTTAGTACATTTCAAAGGAAACTTCTTTGTCAATTGAAGAACACTAATTTCCAAGAGTGAATGTCAGAAGCTTATTAATCCAAGTGTCAGGATTAATACTTCTGGACTTAAAATATCATAGGAAATTAGCATTTTTAAATAGGTACACTGGTGAACACACATTGGGTGTAAACAAAATAGGTCAACGTATCACCCAGAGTGTTACATTCTAGAGAAGGCATTTGAAAACAAATAGCCAATATTCACTTTTTCAAGTCGATCCAGCTCCCTAGTTATTCTATTAGATGCTTAGTCATCAAATAATAGCTGAATATTTTTTGAATTGTCAAAATTAGCTCTACTTTTAATGGGCTCAGAAGTGGGCAACACTGACTGTGTTAGCTTTTATAACACAGAGGAAAACCTTTATGAATTCCCACAAGATTAAAAAATACACCACATTAAATAGGCTCAATAATTATCTGTATGTATTACATTTAATACATATTTAATACAACCCATTACAATATAATTCTATTTTATTATTTTTAAACCAGTTATTATACCCTTGGAATAATGTAAAAAATATGAATTCTTAAGTTTAATACATACTATGAAGAAATACATAAATCAACAAAACTATATATTAACACCCAATAATCACATTCAAATTCTTCCTGTGTATTACATGTTTATTAGTGTGATTATTTAAGTTTTGTTGCCAAATATTTTTCTTTTATAACATCTTTACTATTTTAATACTGTTCCTCCCATCCAACACTTAGCTCAACTGCTGTAGACCTGATCAAATGTGTTTTTGATGTCTGTCATCAAGTACAAAAGTATAATTTCATTATAGTGTATCATATATGCTCAGCACTAAGAGAACATTATAAAATGAAGAAGTTTGGCTAAAGTTCAACTGGCCATCAAATACCACTGGCAAGAATTTTCTTAAACAGATGGTGTAAAATCTTACTAACACAATAGTGTGTGCTTAACACAGGAACAATATCAGAACCAGATGTGCTCCAAATGACCAAAGTACCAAACAGAAATAATAAACATAGGATATACATTAAAAGCGATGCCATTGCCAACCAAGAAAAAAAAATTCTGAAAAAAATGCACGCCCTTGTCAAGTAAGAAATGCTACTGATATTTTTCCAGACTAAAGTTGACATACAAATATTTTCCTTTTGACTTCCTCTTGTACATTGGTATTATACTTCCATCAGGGTGGCCAAAATTAAAAATATAATTTTCTAATGTGTGTGAAAAAATATAAAAGGAAAATAAGTCTTTGATTTAACCTAAGAAATTCAAGGGATCTAAGGGTTTTTTATCCATCATTTGTAACGGAAAATATTTTCATTAGCCCAGAATACATACATACATACACACACACACATACCCACGAAGAGCTGGCCACACGTGCTTCATCAGTTACAACAGTCCAAGCCTTGCACGTTATTATCTGTACCAAGAGGCCCAAGAACCAGCAGGGACGAGTGAGAAAAACTAGAATCCCTGGGGAGGCCCTCCCTGAGGCTCTAGCCGCGCCCCTCGGGGCCTACGCCCCTGGTGCCTCACCCCCTAGTGCCCGCCGCCCCGGAGGAAAGCCACTGGGAATCCGCAGCGGGCCCCTCTCCCGCTCCAGCCTCCACCCGGCCTCAGGCGCCCTGAGCCTGCTCACTTTAAGGGCAGCTCGGACACAGGTTGCTCCGGCCTAGTCAGGCCTTGCCCCTTGGCCTTGCTGTGGTCGGCTTGGGTTTTTGGGTCTTCCTGGCCCTCGGACAGCCTTTTGCGGGGTGCTAGGATGCGCACTCTGGGTCTTTCGAATTGTTGGTCAAGAATCACCTACCTATTATGGGCAGGTACGGCTGAGGGGAAGAAGGGCTTGGGCCGTGGGTCTTCTCCACGCGCTTTCTCCGCAAAGTATTAAGATTCTCTGGAAGCCAGATCTGATTGCAGGAGACGAATGTTTTGCATTTGAAACCCAAGCCTCCATCCTGGGGTCGCCCACGGAAAAGGGCGCGAGGAGGACGCGCGGTCAAGCCCATCGGGGCGCCGCGACAAGCCTGACTCAGAGCCTGGCCTGAGGTGGGCGTCCGAGCGCTCGCAGCCGCCGCGAGCCTCTTCGAGGCTGGCTTAGTGATGAGGTTGGGAGGGAGGGGGGCAGCGGTTCACGCTGCCAATTTTCGGATCACAGTACGTTTCCGGGGCGCTCGCCCTAGTTGCCCAGCCCCGCGCCCTCACGCCTCGGCAGCGCCCGGGGTGCGCCGCGCAGGGGGCACGTTCCCGGCCTGCCTCGGGGCTGAGGCCCGGCTTCGGGGGAGGGAGGGTCCCAGAACAGGGGCCTAAGCGACCCCAGGGCAGCTCTCGCGAGGGAATCTCCGAAGGCAGGCCAGGGCCTAGGCAGCCTAGGCCGCCCAGGGCGAGGGAAGGCCTGTCCCGCGGCGGGGGGTGGCCTGCAGGCCTCGGGCGTGGGAGTTACCAAGGAAATGCATCAGTGTTTATGGCCAGTGGGAGATGAGAAAGTGTTCGCCCTGCACGCGATCTACTCCTCCCCTGGCAGTGCGCCCTCACCGGAGCCGACCTTCCCAGCGCCCGGGCCGGGGCTCCGCACGGACGTCTGGGCTCCCACGAGGCTGACAGCTCACGGTCTCGCCCGCCCCCTCCCGCCGCCCCAGGGTCTCCTGCGAGAACTCCCACTTCTGTGATTCCGGGAGAAAAGGAGGAGTCAAAAGGCCAGCCAGCCTAGAGGGGAGACTTGCTTTCAAACCTCGCAGGGCTCACAGCATTTTCCGTATACTTAGCACAACGGGTGAGTCCTGGGTATGTGTCCTGCCTCTGTTGTTCATTCATCCTTAGAATTTGGATTCTGTCATCTGTAAATAATATCTACCTCATAGATGGTGTGAGGAGTATTCGTGACAGCAAACGTGAAAACGGGGTAACGCTAAACATGAGATGGAGTTTCTTACGAATGGGTGCACCTTTATCTCTAAAAACAGAAAGTCTTTTTTAGGAAGAAAATTATCTCAGCCTAAGAATAGAGGCTTTTTAAAGAAACCAGAATTATGACTGCCAATTTTTTCCTATCCTGACCTTTAAAAGAGATTTAAGTGAATTGATCCAGCTTTTTGTTAAACGTGAAAGATTGTCTTCCCCCACAATACCCCTAAAATTACTAAAGCAGAGCAGAAATATTTTGAAACAGGGAGAAGGAAGAAACTTTGAAAGTCATTGTATGTATTAAAAACTTGAGAAAAAAACTGCTGCCTATTGTTTCTCATTACTTTGAGACTCAAAACCAATAATGAACATAAAGTGCAGAGCAGGGTCAAGGTATTATTCCCCAAAAGGTGGTATAATGTGAAGATGCCTTAAAAAAAAAAAAAAAAAAAAAGTCTGACCTAATCCCTCCTGAAAGAGGGGCCACTATCTGAAATAAATGAGCAGGAATAATCTAAAACAATCTTGGCCATGTTTGCATGTCTGCAAGCGGCTGTGAATGAATCTGCAAATTTTGGTAAGTTGCCCAAGTCTTTAGGATAAAGCCTATTACTTTCCCTTTAGTGTTGGTTGAACAAATTAAACGGTGCAGGGTCTGGTACAACCCTTCCAGGTCTCATGATCTCTTCAAGCCATTTTTGACCCTAGCCATCAAGTCTTGTGCTGAGTCTGGAACAAGGATCCGTTCCCACTTAGGATGGACTGGGTTTGGGAAGAGACTGGGTAGAACCTCCAAGGCACCAAGGACATTCAGTTGTGCCCTAGCAGGGCAGGGGACCTGTCAGCTCAAGAGTAAAGATTCCATCTCCTGTCTCCACATCTGCTGGGTGTTCTTGCTCAGTTCTGTTTACTGTAGAGGACAGTACATCTCCTTCCCAAGCCAGGGAGCATAGCATGCCACAGCTTGATTTGGAATGACCTGTCATCTCATTCTGATTGTCCACCTTGGGTCCCCTTCCTACCCTGCAGCAAGCTAAAACCAACTTCAAAGTCTGGCCAACATGTGCAGTATTTCCTTATGTACAGTCACAGTGAGTCCATAGAGACTTCTCAGGCATCTCCCAATCCAACACCTTCCTACTGGTAACCTCTATGAACTCCTTTACAGACAGAGACATAGATCAGGATGGTCTCTTGGGCACCCAGAGTAGGTTTCCTATTTATTGCAAACAATGAAGTCTGAAGGACCCGCAGGGGAGATTCAAATGAACCATGACACCAGAAGATCCACTGAAGGTTATAAAACCCTTATCCTAGATGAAAAGTGGAGTCTGCAAATTCTTTTAAATTATTATGTTAGAATTTCTGTACTTTTCCTTGCCTAGGCTCTTCAAAGGGTTAAAAAAAATGCAGGTCCTGGGCAAGAAGGTGCCTGTGCAAAGAAGTAGGAAGCATGATAAATAAGCAGGCAGAGAAAGGCTAGAAACCCTCTCTACCTGCCAGTACATATTTTCCTTCTCTCTCAAAAAAAAAAAAAAAAAAAAAAAAAAAACACTTTATTGTCCAGTGCCAGGCCTGAATTAGATTTCAGAATCAGAAGAACTCTTGGTTCCTGCCTCTAACGTGTTTGCAGCCTGGAGCTGCAAGAAGATCTGTTGGGTCCAGAAAACTATTTCTTAAGAGTTGTCCTGAGCAATGACAGAACGTTTGTGTACCACAGTCTGCGTCAGGCACCACAGCCTCTGCAGACTCCACACAGTAACTTCCCATGGAGCATGGTCAAAAGGAAAGTTCTATGAACTCAGGCCTTTGGACTTCAGCTGGTACGGAGATCAAGATGTTGCTAGTTTGAGTCTGGATTTTGATCCACTTGCTGATGATTAGACACTGGATTCCATAATCTGCAAAGAAAAAGAGAAATATTTTATTACCAATTTAAACATTTGACTTATTTCTCCTTCTTTGCAGCTGTTTTATTTTATGTTTTTATCCAAACTACTCTATGCTATTTAACCTTGGCCATGTAAGAGTAGAGGTGGGAAGGGGTGCTCTTTGCCACCAGATTGTAGACACCCAGCAGCTTCTAGCAGCCTGCATCTGGGCCAGAAGGTGGTTGAGGCAAAAGGCTGGAGCTGGACTACCTGTTCTAGAGCCACAACCCAGGTCAACTGAACTCCATGTAGAACCATCTCGTGAATCCATCAACTCAAAGTGTCAATTCCTGAACTTTCTGAAAAGAGGGTATCATAGTGGAATTATCAAAAGCAGAGCCTCTTAATTTGGTACATGGGTTTGAATTCTGACCTGGTGTGTTTAAAAATGGCCTTGGGTAAGTTAAGTTAAAGATGTAGAATTATGTGCCATGGTATCAATGGGGCATTTGACAAGTAATAAGCAACCTTTCTGATTATTGCCATTCACAACCTTCAGAAGGTTACATGGACTAATGCAAGTCAGGATGCCAAGTATTTAAAGGCGTCCTGTAAAGTGAGGAAGTGAAGGGGGAAGCGTTGTTCATTTTGTGAACAGTGGCAGCACTCCAGTCTGTATATGATACTCCGGAGCCTCTGCCCCTCAGGAAGGTGAGTCTGGTCTTGGCAACTGGGTCCCGCTAGCCCCTAGATATGGTCAACTGGAATGCATGAAGAGCATTGGCCTGCCCCTTTCACCTGGGGAAAGAGCCACTTCGCGTTACCAAATTTGGTGACACCTCCATGTAGGAAGTGGAAGATAGTTGTAGTCACTGACAACCTTCTGGGGGTGGGGGAATTTATTTCAACACCGTTTTGACTTCTGGGAGTCTGTAAGTGGTGTCACCTCCATTCAGCAAGTGAGAAAACCAAGGTGTTAACAAGTTAAATTGCTCGAAATCACTACAGGCTTGCTAACTTCAAACCCTGTACTGCAAAAATAATAAATAATTCATTGCCTACCTCATAAACCCTGAATCCCATGAAAAAAGGGAAAAAAGCAAGGAAGGGAGGGAACTAGAAAAAGAGGGAGGATAGAAAGAAGGAGAGAAAGGAAGTTAACTGTCACGGTTACATGAATCAGTTTCCTTATAGCAGAAATCCAAACAAAAAGTTATTGAACTTTATAAAATGATGGCTTAGGATTTTTTATGCAGGCTTGTGGGGTTATAGCATCATTTTTTACAAGTTTTGTGGGATCAGCAAGGACAGGACATGGAGAATGGTAGACACCAAAATTGTGGGCGGGACAGCACAGGCTTGTGTGGGACGCACTCACACTGGCTCCCTTATCAAAACCTCAGCGAAGCCTGCGATTGGGAGGCTCACGCAGTCCCCTGCCCCCACCCCAGCCCCAGCAACACCGTCTGGCGGTCGCATTTTTTGCACTTAGACCGTTTGTCATTCCCACCACTCTGGCTGGGTTTATTTGAGCTTTCGGGCGTCTCTTGGGGACGCCGGCAGAAGGCGTGGGGCGGGAGAGGAAAACCTACAAGGGACCGGGTTTCCATCCTCTCCAGATGACTGGACTTCAGGAGAGATCCGCCCTGTGTGCCCAGGACAAGCAGGGAAATGCTTGGCGGGGAGACCGTTAGCGTTTTGTTTTCTGTCTCCGCCTGGGACTCTGACTTTTGCAGTTGTGCGAGCAAAGTTCTGTAGAAACAGGTCAGAGTCAAGTTTCCGCTGGTCCTGCTTTGTTGCTCCTTTTGAACTATAGCACGCCTATAAAACCGGCAGCCCCAAACCGCAGGCGTGCTTAAGGCGAGATTGTCGGCTTGGAAATGTCACCTTGAGTAAACGGTGCAATGAACTTCTGCGTTTCGCGCGGTAACGTTTAGCCCGGGAGGTCCTAGACTGCCCCTGCCTAATTTCAGGCTTCACGTGGCTCCTAATTTTATCTTTCCCCTCATCTCTGCCATCAGCCGGCAAAAGCTCTCCTCTCCTTCTCTCCTTCCGCGGTGGACCTGGAGAGTTCCCGCGGAGTCCACACGTCCACACCCTCCCAGGAACAGCACCCAGGTTCCGTGTGGTCTCTAGAAACGCACCAGACAACGGGCCTCAGATGGCGCATCCCACTGCAGCTAGCGTCCCAGACGCCCCGCGGGGCCAGGAGGCGGCGGCCTGGTATGCACCCAGGGGGGTTCTCGGTGCCCTCAGCTTAGTGCACTCCCCAGGAGGCAAAGCCCACCAAGCCTCTGCCTTGGCGCGAAGTGGGGCAGAGAGCGGGAGGTCTTGGATGGAGGCCCTCTCCACCTTTCGGTGACCTCCACTGCTGTGAATAAACACGTCCCTCCCTGTCCCTCGGAAACTGTGGGTGACGAGGTCTAAGGAGCCTGGGGCCGGTAAGTCCCAAGGTGAGCGCGTTTCCAGCTCCGCCAGCTCCGAAGGGTGACGCGATTGCTAACAGCTCGTTTGTGCACAGAGCCTCTGGAAGCTTTCTGAAGCTTTCTCCTTCATTCCTATCCCAAAGTCTGGGAAAGGGGTTAGACGGGGTGGACAAAATCCCTGAGACGCCCTCTCCGCGCCCCGAACCAGTGTGACATCCGCACTTTGAAATTGGTCTTGGCTGAATTCTTACTGGCGCGGAGGTCTCTCCACCGTAGGACCTCCGAGCATCCTAGCAGGGCTGTGCGGGTGCCACCGAAAACCGGGACCTGGACAGCGAGGGCCTCGGGCGGGGGGCAAGCGCATGGCCGCATGGCCTCGAGGATTGGCGCTGGTCCTGAGACTGCAGGCCAGGGAGTCCCATCTGCGTCTCACCGGGCCCTGTTTTCTCCTGGGTCCCTGCTGCGCCTTGCCCAGGTCGCCACAAGTCTAACGCACTTGAGTCACCGCAGGCGGGCGGGGTGGGGAAGGCGCTGGGAGCGGGAGTAGGCGGCCATCCAGGGCGCAGAGACTGCCTGAGCACCGCGCAACCTCCAGGTCAAGTTCCCTCTAACGTGTGGTTATTCCCTGTTAGGAGCTCAGAGGCAAACGGCTCAATAGTCAAGTTGGTGAGGACTTTCACTTAAAGTAATAATTTGCTAATTCGGATCTATTGCTTTTAAATATCGAGTTCCAGAGACCTCTGTCAATGCAGGCTTAATTTCATCCCACTGATGAAGGATGTTTATAAACGGTGCCCGTGGTGCGAGCCGAGTGTGAAAATATCAGTTTTATGCCTTTTGATAAGAATTACCGAGGTGGAAGTCTTATTAGACGATTACAAATTTCACAGCTCTCGCAGCCCAATTAGGCAGCTCTTGGAGGTGAGTGGAAGCTGTGGGAGTCGGGGCGGGTTGGTGCTCCAGTTCTCCAGCCCAGGACCTCCAATCAAGACCTGGCTCCACTGGATCCAGATTCCTTCGCTGCCCCCCGCGGCTTTTAGGGAGACATTCTCAGCGCGTCTCAACTCGCGGGGGAGCCTGGAGCACAGCCCTGGGACAGGACACACGGATATCTCCCTGGCTCATTTCCCGTCAAGTCCCGGGTATGCACAGAGCCCTGTGGACTGGGGACTGTCCGCAGTCTCCCCCCAGGTGGGCCTGCGGACTGATTTTCACTTATGGAAGGTGGCCATCTAGAAATGTCAATTGAGTAGGGAAGCGGGAGATGTCTTTCCCACCTGCAGACCCTCAAGATATTTTAAGGTCGGTCCTCGTTCATTCAAAACTGGTCTTAATTGAAAGTTGGGCTAAAAACTCTCATTAGGAAGATTTCAAAGAAAAAACGCTCTTGTGAGTTTTAGCCCCGAACCTAAACTGGGCAGAGGCACTGCAAAGCAGCTAACGCTCTTTTTGCTGTAGCGGAGGGGCTAGCTAGGGGAGCTGCTAGCAGTGGGACCACTAAGAGTAAGCTAACCTCTGCTCCCTTGCGCCTCTCAAGGGGTCGAGAGGTCAGTGGGCCCGAGACGGGAGGGGCTCCCCCCAAAGACCTGTACATCCCCCTCCTCCCACCTCCACACGCGACCCCTAGCCAAAGGCAGAAATGGACTCACCGCGCGGAGGCCTACAGGGGCTGGGTGCGCGCAATTACACCGCGGGAAACGTCCGCAACCCGCCGCGCCGGGAGGAGAGCCGCCACCAGACCCGTCTTTTAGGTCTTCAGCTTAGGTCTGACGACCATTCTTCTTACCCAAGCCCAGAAGCCTTGAAAAATGAATCATTTCCTCCACTTATGCAGAGATAGGAGCTCTTAGATCAAGATTAGTGTTTTGAAAACCTGATTGAGAGCCGCCTGATTAGGCGAGGGTGGGTGGGAAGACCGCATCCACGCCAGCGCCCCCGCCCTGCTCCCCCAAAACAGCCCTCGTGCTGTCGGGTTTTCTAAATGACCCCGCGCGATTAATTCTCCTCGATAGTGGCCAAACAGTAGTCCAGATTCACTTTGCAAACCCTAACACAAAGAGACCGTAATTAAATCTCAAACTGGACTTCTATTTTAAATTCCACTTCCAATGGGATCCTTCTCTAATACGTGGCCTGACAGCGCCAACATTCTGCACTCTTGTCTTTCCATTCGTAAGAGTCATCTCGAGGACGACGCTATTCATGGAAAACGCATTATGTGGACACCCCCCCATACT